ACCAGCTTAACAACTTGGGATGTTGAAAGAACACGAGGAAAGTTTGTAAATCGCGAGCTGGCGGAGGCAAGTGATTGACAAACGTTTCTCGGGTTCTCTCAACATCATGGGTGGGTTATTGAGACGGTAAGTCGATAGAAAGTGCGTTCCATCGCTTAATTATCTTCTACTCACCAATGCCTGTGATTGATAACGGTTCACTGAGAGATATGCTGGAAAAGGAGAATTGTCTTTAATTATTACAAGTAGAGTACAAAACATATCCTTGTGTCTGGGTTATCAGATATTTCCAGATGTCGCTTGTCATCGCAAAATTCTGGATCTCGAGGTGAAATGTTCTTATGTTGGGTGTCCTTGGACTGGAGAACTCCGAGCTGTGCAGGTAATGTATCTACGTCATATTCACCGTAAGGGCGTTCTCTATCACTTCATTCGCAGTTGATCCCAAAAATTAAAAATCTAAAACATTTTAATTTGTCTCCTTCATAATAAGCAAGCATTGCACTTATTCCTGCTACTCTTAACCATCGAGGCAGCAAGACATGATGTTATACGAAGCAGATAAGGGTAACTTGTGGAGCTCAACTCAACAGTTTCTTGCACAGTAGTAACTATCTGGACTGAACAGCGGTGTTGTTCTGGTATTTGCAATCTGAGGCGTCATGGTCGGCAGTTTGCGTACAACATGACAGATTTTCTTCCTGTCTGGTAATCTTTGATAGGTGCCTATTATACTAAACGTTTATTTAATATTTATCACTAGTCTTAGGGATATCATTTTTATCAACAAGTCACACGTAAATTTCACATTTCTTTTCTAAGATCCTAAACCGTCAGTTAACCGATTGTTTCGCTGTCAATCAAGTCTCTCTTTTCTTTAGCCTGTTGTATGTCTTAGCAGATTGGATCATGATTACAGTGCAGTTTATTATCGATAAATTATGACTTAAGAAACATCAGTCAGAATGCCTGTTCAAAGTGGTGGGGTGTCCAAATGAAGGATGTAAAAAGAAGCTCACCAGGTCAGATATGAACAATCACATGATAACGGAATGTGTCCGGAGGGAAGTTAGTTGTGAATATTGTCGAGGATCATTTATCGTGAAAAACAAGCAGGTTTGTTAACAAAAACATATTCTTTATATAGCTTCTACAAAGGCAGTATCTCAAACTTTTGCTTTTTATCCAAAGTGGAAAAGTGGTGACGACTATCAATCTTTATTAAGTCAAGATTTTGTTGAGCTCTCGGTATCTTCTCTTATTCGATATAAAATTATTACACAGAAATATCTTAGTAAAGTTGGGCTTTAATGTTGGGTTCGAGAACTTTGGTCCTTTACTGATAAGAAAGTGGGTATTTTACTCTATAAATTTCGTTAGTACAACAGCCTGTCTTTATTGGTCATAGTTTTCATAAGACGGAGAGAATTTTGAAATTTTAAAAAACTTCTTTTCGATTTTCTTCAACAACATCATAACGTCTGTCAAAAGTTTCCGGTTCAATGTCCCAACAATTGTGGTCTGATAAGTATTTTTTTCACGAGAAAAGGTAAGATGTAATATTCTCACTGATTCTCAGTAATTTTAACGAGAGTTTAATTGAAAGTTCATGCACACAGCCCGCATGGGACATAGTGCTACTTTATATGAAAGAACGCATGCTTAGTCCTGTTTTATGTTAGCAATTGGAGGAGTTCCGTGCTCTAGTGTTTAGAGAATGTGTAATACTGTTGTGAATGTTTTTCTGGCTTCATTCAGAGGATATAAAGGTCGTTATTTTCTGCTATGAGTGAGCCTGCCAGAATTTAATCTAGGTAGCTCCACGATAGGGAAACAATCCATAACACCGTTACGATCCCTTCTAGGAGGTTTTCTCCGTTAAACTTCACAGGGAAAATGCGAAAGACTTATAAGGAATATTTTTAAATTTCAATTTACTGATTCATAAATTACGAAATCTTAGGAGTAATTTTGAGACCCCGAATGATTTTTTTTCGCTACGCACGAGGGAGGATTTCTCTGGCTGCTCATTCAAGACTAAGTCTTTTTCATCTTTTTGTTTAGAACTTAGGATGCCAAATTGCGGTATGAAACAGCTTTCAGTTGATATCCAATTGCAGGTTTGGCGGAGAGGTCGTGCGTTTGTATTGTATAACCATATCATAAAACGAATTACAGCGAATTGTCAAATGAATATACATTTTCTCATTCTGTAGGGTTTAAAAAATTCCTACCGACCAGTGTGGCAGTTGAATAAAAGAGTTCAATAACCTCATCGTCTTTTTTTAGTTTCAAAGAACAAGGACCAAATCTCTCTTAGAATCACACATGGAAAGCCACTTGAACTTAGCTGTATGCAGCCTTGAGACCACTCAGAATCAGGTTAAAGATCAGTCAAAGCAGATTGAGCGATTGACATCTATATTCAGTGATCAGTCACAGCAGTTGAATGATCAGTCACAGCAGATAGACAGTTTAACGTCCACTGTGCAGGGTCTGGTGCAGCAGGTAGAAAGCCTGACAGGCCAAGCTGTGCTGATGGACAAAAGGACCAACCAAACCATTGACGAGACAAACAAGATAGGGGCAACTAATGACAAGGTTAAAGAGGGTAGGTTTCTATAGAAACTGTGGCG